AAGTGAAATGAAATTTTACAGTTCTTGCCTATACGGAGTATTCTGGTTGCAAGACAGATTAGTTTGTTTTTTTGGCAGTCCATAGCATATTCAATACTCTTTACCAACAAGAACACTCAGGGTTGCATCTGTTTCCTAAAACGTCTCAACTGGTATTCCATCAATTCCTGAAGCTTTATTTATTTTCTTTTTTACTAATGCCATCAGTACAGGTTAGACTTCTTTCAGTACCTTTGGCTCTTGCACTTATGCTTCTTCCTTACTGGTTCAGTGTGGACTAATTCTTTTTTGGTAAGGTGACGCTGTATAGTCCTTGCATTTCGTCCATAGAATCTTCCAGTGTTGCAACTTGAGGCTTATTATTTTCTTCAATTCTTTCAGCTTGAGAAATGCCTAGTATATTCTTCCATCTTGGTTTTCTAATTCCAGCTACTTGAACATTTCTTTATATTATTTTATATGTCATCCTTGTGCAGGGGCCATGCTAATCTTCTCTGTATAGTTCCAGTTTTAGTATATATGCTGCCTAAGTGAACACACAAAAAAGACAGGAGTTGATTTATCCATGAGAAAATGTGCTTGTAATTATTGCTGTTGTGTACCGTAGAGCTGGAACCCACCCATAGCTGACCCTCTGGTGGGTTTTCAACGGCAGTTAATAGCACAGGAGGAGATTGACCATCCTTCTCCCTCTGAGCAGCTGGTGGACTTGAACTGTTTGTATTCAGGGTTGCAGCAGTTCTTGCCACTAGGCCATGAAAGTGCCTTTATTATATTTTGCTTTGTTTTCTCTGGGCAGCCTTTTGCAATCTTCAGTTATTTTACCTCAGTATTCCTTCCCCTTGTTTTGGTGTCTTTTCATTCCAATACAAGTTCTGACATCCATTTATGCTTTTTTTTTTTTAGGTTGGAATTCTGGACCTATCTTGGTTTTATTGTTTTGACCTAACTTCCTGAGCCTTATCAAAAATAGTCATTTTGCACTCAAAGCTTCTTGACAAAGTCAAGTCTTTGCATGTACCATTGTCATAAATAGGGGTCCCACAGAGGAGGGACGCTATCAAGGGCCAGGGGATACAGTAGGTGAGACTCTAGGACTGAGCCAGCCTTGTGCTCTCCTGGAATTCTGGGGTTTTGAGGTGTGTGTACTAAGGGGAAGTGACTCGGGGGATACAGGGCTAACTTCAGAGGGCAGGGATAAGCCCAGCAGGGCCCAGCGCTGGGCTGGTGGTGTAGAAAAGTAGGCCTTCTGTTCTTCTGAGTAGCGTTCCTGGGGAGTCACAGCATCCCGGTAAGTCCAGTCCTGCCAGTGGAAATTGAAGCCTTCAAGCAGAGTGATGCGCTCAGCTCTTGTAGGAACACAGTCAAGGGGCTTTGTGGGTAGCAGGTCTGGCACCTCTATCCCTGGCAGCAGCAGCACCCTTCGGATGGCAAACCAGCCCCCAAATCGTGAGAGTACTTGTAATGAATAAATCATTCATTGTACATAATTCTATCATTCAATCTCCAGCCTCATTTCTGAATATTTTCCACTTATAGTCTGTCCCCCCCCAATGTTTGCATTACAATCACCAATGATTATCAATGCATCCTGATTGAGTGGGTTTTTGTCTTTTTTTTTTTTTTTTGTATCATTGGATTCTATTGGCCAGGATTTTATTTAGGATTTTTGCATCTATATTCATGAGAGATATTGGTCTATAGTTTCTACTTTGGTGCTGTCTTTCTGTGACTTTGATATCAAGGATATGGTTGCTTCATAGAATGAGTCTGGGAGAATTCCATCTTTTCTATTTTCCTTTTTTCCTCTTTTCTATTTTCTTAAGTACATTATATAAAATTGGTGACAGTTCTTGTCTGAATGTTTGATAAAATTTACTTGTAAAACCATCTGGTCCAGGGTTGGTTTTGTTGTTGTTGTAAGTTGTTTTATTATCTGTTCAATTTGTTCTTTTGTAATGGGTCTGTTCAGGTGTTCAATTTCGGTCTGTCTGTGTCACTTTAGGTTGGTTGTGAGTTTCTAAATATTTGTTCATTTCCTCTAGGTTTTCATATTTGTTTGAGTATAGTTTTTTCCATTGTTAACCTTTTTATTTTCGTTGTTCTGTTATGACATTTCCCTTTCATCTCTTATTTAGATTATTTGTGACTTTTCTTTCTTTCCTTTGTTAGTTTTGCTAGTGGTTTTATTGATCTTTTCGCAGAACCAACTCCTGGTTTTGTTGATGGTTTCAACTGTTTTTCTGTTTTCTATTTCATCTCTAATCTTTATAATTTCAGTCTTTTTAGAGAGTGTCAGGTTTTCTTGCTCTTCTTTCTCAATTTGTTTGAGGTGTTGGATTAGAAAGTCAATCATTTTTTCTTGTCGTTTCATGTGTTTGATTATTGCTCTAAATATACCTCTAATGACTGCTTTGACCGTTTCCTAGAAGTTTTAGTAAGTTGTGTTTTTGTTGCCATTTGTTTTAAGAAACTTTCAATTTCATTTTTTATTTCTTCTAGTATCCACTCATACTCAAGCAAGATGTTGTCCAGTTTCAATATGTGTGTTTTTCCCCCTTTATCCTCTTGTTATTAATTTCTAATTTTGTAGCATTGTGGTCTGAGAAGACACTTTGCATCATTTCCATGTTTTTTAATTTATTGATTCTTGCCTTGTGACCTAAAATGTCATCTATTTTAGAGAACATTCTATGCATATTGGAGAAGAAGGTATACTGCACTTTTTTTGGGTACATTAGCCTATATATATGAGATTGAGTTGGTTTACTGTGTGATTTAATTCTTCAGCATCTTTATTGAGTTAATTTTTGGTAGTTCTATCTTTTCTTGAGAGTGGTATATTGAAGACTCCAACTATTATAGTGGTGTTGTCTATTTCCTTTTCCAATTTTGTTAATGCTGGTTTTGTATATTTTACAGCAGCTGTGGTGCTGGAGAAGAGTACTGAATATACCATGGACTGCTGGGAGAACAAATTCGTCCTGGAGAGGGTGAAGTCAGGCTGCTCCTTGAAGGCAAGGATTCTGAAGCTTCGTCTGACATACTTTGGACATGTTGCAAGGAGGGACCAGTCCTTGGAGAAGGACATCATGCTTGGGAGGGTGGAGGGACAGTGCAGGAGAGGAAAAACCTAGATGAGATGGATTTATTCAATCACTGGGGTTATGGGAATAGGTGTGTCGGAGACAGTAGGATTGGCAAAAGATAGAGCAGGGTTTTGGGCTGTTGTACATAGGGTTGCTATTAGTTGCAGGTGAATCGATGGCACATAACACCACCACCACTAATATGTTATTGCATAGATGTTTATTATTGTTACGTCCTCTTATTCTATTGACCCTTTAATGCATTATGTAGTGACCTTCCTTGTCCTTTATGATGTTTTTTACATCAGTGAAAGCATATCATCTAACAAACCCTTGGGAATTATTAAGAAAAAACAAGAATGATTAGAGAAAATTCTATATAAACTTACTTTAATTGTTATCCCATTACTCCAGTCACTGAATCAATCCATCTCATTGAGGGTCTTCCTCTCTTGTGTTGTCCCTCTGCCCTCCCAAGTATGATGTCCCTCTCCAGGGACCGGTCACTCCTTGTAATATGTTCAAAGTATGTCAGACGATGCTTTAGAATCCTTGCCTTCAAGGAGCAGCTCGATTTCACCCTCTCTAGGTCCTGTTTGTTCTCTGAGCAGTCTATGGTATAGTCAACACTCTTCCCCAGCACTATAACTCAAAGGCATAAATTATCTTTCTATGATCCTTAGTTATTGTCTGATGCATAGCACACAATTGCAAAGACTATGTCCTGGATCAGGCGCACCTTGGTCTCCAGACTGACATCATTGCTGTTCAGCACTCTGGAGAGGTCCCTCACAGCTAGCTTTCCCCAGTGCAATTTGTCTCTTGTTTTCCTGGCTGCTGGTACCAAGAGTGCTGATTGTGGAGTCAAGAAAACAAAAACTGTTAATAATCTCAATCTCTTCACCATCCATAATGATGCTGCCAATTGGCCCAGTGGTGAGAACCTTTGTTTTCTTGATGTTGAGCTTCAATCCATATTGAAGGCTGCAGTCCTTGACTTTCTGCAGGAAGTACTTCAGGTCTTCCTCAGTTTCAGCAAGCAAGGTTGTATCATCTGCATAACTCAGGTTGTTGATGATCCTTCCTCCAATGCTGATGCCACATTCCTCCTCATACAGCCTAGCATCGCAGGTGATCTGTTCTGAATATAGACTGAAAAGGTATGGAGACAGAATATATCACTGGCATACACCCTTTCTGATTCTGAGCCATGCAGTATCTCCTTGGTCTGTTCTGACTATTGCCTCCTGGTTCAAGTATAGGCTTCACATAAGCACAATCAGATGTTCTGGGATTCCCATTCTTCTCAGAGTCAGCCACAGTTTGCTGTGATCCACACAGTCAAATGCTTTTGCATAGTCAAGGAAACACAGATAGACATTCCTCTAGTACTATCAGTCAAGATCTATCTAACATTAGCTATAATATTCCTAGTATCACAGATACATGTCATAAATAGATAAATCTTGGTAAAGTTATGTCTAGTGAAATGAAACAAGTCAGTCATTAACTGGAAAAAGTATTATATTATCCCACTATATGAAATATCTGTAATAAGCAAGTGCATAGAGACCAAAGCATATTAGTATATAGTAGGGGTGACATAGTAGGGGGGCTTGGAGTACCTACTAAGGGAACATCGAGTTTCTCTTAAAGGTGATGAAAGTTGAAAATGAATAGTGATAATGACTATAGCACATGATGAATGCCAGTTAAAAAACATGGTAAATATTTTATTGTTTATTTATACTAAAATGGAAAAAAAAGAGTTACCATAAACATTATAGATAGTGAAAGCATATCATCTAACAAAAACTTGGGAATTATTAAGAAAAAACAAGAATGATTAGAGAAAATTCTATATAAACTTACTTTAATTGTTATATATCTTAATTTTATTTCTACTTTCTCTCACTTAGAACTGAAAATCTTCCTCAACAAGTTACCTAATGCTTCCTTCACATCTTTATTTCTAAGGGTGTAGATGAAGGGATTGAGTGTAGGAGTCACCACTCCATAGAAGAGAGCCATGAACTTGGGCTGGTCCATTGAGATGGAGGAGGGAGGCTGAAGATACATGGTAATGCCAGGGCCAAAAAATAATAAAACAACAAGAAGATGAGAAGAACATGTTCCTAAAGCCTTTTTCCTTCCCTCAGAAGATTTAATCTTCAACACAGCTTGTCCAATGCAAGCATAAGAAGCAAGAATTAAGCAGAGTGGGACAGCCACAATAAAAATACATACTACAGACAGCATGAGCTCATTCACATGCTTTTCACCACAGGCAATTTTTATCAGAACAGGTATCTCACACAATACATGATCCAGCTTATTGACACCACAGAGTGGTAGTTGTAATGTAACAGTTACCTCTGAGATAGCAAAAGTCATTCCACTGAGCCACATAATGGATATTAATAGCAGGCAAATTCTACGATTCATAATGGTAGTATAATGCAGAGGCTTACAGATGGCCACATAACGATCCAAGGACATGAGAGTTAATAGCAGACATTCTGTGCCCCCCATTGAGTGGAAAACATAAAGCTGAACTACACAACCCATGTAGCTGATTGTCTTCTTGGAGCTTCCCAGGTTAACCAGCATCTGAGGGACAATGCTTGTGGTATAACACATGTCCAAAAAGGAGAGGTTGGTGAGGAAGAAATACATGGGGCTGTGGAGTTTGGGGTCTAATGTGGACACCAGGATGATGGCAATGTTTCCCATCATGGCCATAGGGTATGTGATCAGAAGAATAACAAAGAGAGGAAGCTCCAGCCAAGGATGGTCAGCAAATCCCAGTAGAATGAATTCTTCTGGATGGCTTTTGTTACTTACTGCCATTATCATAAATTTATTTCATCTGCTGTAGGGAGTGGCAAAGATGATAGAAAAAATTATTAACAATGGCAAATCATCATTATGCATTGATCATTTAGTCACAGAAGGTGGAATTCAGTAACCTGAGGACTATTTCGGAACAAATTTCTATCCCAAGGCTTGAATATATTTCATATTGATGCTTTTATTAATAGGTCAAAGATAGATAAACAATTCTAGGAAGGAGAAACCCATCAACAAATCATAACTATCTCTTTCATTCTAAGATTCTTAGCACTGTAGTAGAAGGCGTTATCCTGCCATGTGAAAGACCTTGATTGGGTTATATGCATAACTATGCTAGAAGCTTGAAGAATTTGTTCTGAGTGTGCCATTTCTGCTGTATAGCTATGTGGTAATCAGAGGTATGAGTTATGAGAATCATTCATGCCATGCCAAGGTAAGAAATCACTCTTTCTTAAGCTGGTTTGGCAGCAGTGATTACAAAGGCACTTTTCTGAAAGCAAAGTCATAGGGCAAGTCCAGGACCTGAAGAAATGAAAATTGTATTTGAGCCACGCCAAGGATCACAGTGGATATGCATCACCTTTAACCTTCCACATGCTACTTTCCCCCACCCCCAAAATTATGTTTTTTTTTTAGCAGATACAAAACCAAACACACTTATTGATAGTGTTTAGACATGTTTAAAGAATAAAATATATTATACATAATAAATATATATGTATTTTCTTCAAAAGAAAAATATGTGAACTTACATCTGTAGGTAAAAATTACATTCCAGTTAGTTGACCAGGTAGCTGTCTTCCAAATTTCCTAGCACAAATGGGTGAGCATGTCCAGGTGTGCATCTGTTATTTGAAACATATCAATTGGTATTCCATCAATTCCTTGAGCCTTATTTTGTTTGCTGATGCCTTCTGTGCAGTTTTCCTTTATTACCATTGGCTCTTAATCATTTGCTACTTCCTGAAATATTTTAGTGTTGGTAAATTCTTTTTGGTACAAAGTCTCTGTGTATCCCTACTATCTTTTTAAAGTGTTTCTGTGAAAATATTTACAATTATGTAGTTAAACACTACTTGTGTGTCAGTTTGCTATATGGTGGTGGCTTTCATGTTACTGTGATGTTAGTAACTTTGCTACCAGTATTTTAAATACTAACATGATTGGCCAAGGTGGATAAGTTTCAGATAGACTAAGAAGCAGAACTGGCATGCACTTCTGAAATAACTTTGAAAACTCTGTTGAGTAATGTAAAAACATTGTTGGATATCATACTGGAAGATAAGCCCTATAGGTTGGAAGGCATTAAAAATGTGGCTGGTAAAGAGCTACCTTCTCAAATAAGGTATACTTTAAGGACATGGATGGAGTAAAGGTTTCACTCAGTAAAGGGCCTTCTTGCTGAAACTTAGGAGTACCTGAAGCGTTTGCTGCAGAGGGTCAAGGACTGTAGCTTCCAATATGGATTGAGGCTCAGTGTCAAGAAGACGAAGATTCTCACCACTGGACCAATTGGCAGCATCAGGATGGATGGTGAAGAGATTGAGATCGTTCACAGCTTTAGTTTGCTTGGCTCCACAGTCAATACTCTTGGCACCAGTAGTCAGGAAATTAAAAGGCATTTTTCCATGGGAAAGTCTGCTGTTAGGGACCTTTCTAAAGTACTGAAGAGCAATGGTGTCTCTCTGGAGACTATGGTGTGTCTGATACAGCATGGTCTTTGCTGTCACTTGTTATGCATCAGAGAGTTGGACAGTGACTAGGGATGATAGAAGGAGAATTGACGCCTTTGAACTGTGGTGCTGGAGAAGAGTATTGAGGGTACCATGGACTGCTAGGAAACAAACAGATTCGTCCTGCAAAGGGTTAAACTGGGCAACTCCCTGGAGGCAAGGATCCTGAGGCTTTGTCTAACATACTTTGGACATGTTGTAAGGAGGAACTGGTCCTTGGAGAGGGACATCATGCTTGGTAGGGTGGAGTGACAGCGCAGGAGGGGAAGGCCCTCTATGAGGTGGATTGATTCAGTGACTGGGGTAATTGGGCTGGGTGTATCAGAGACAATGCGATTGGCACAGGATAGGGCAGGGTTTAGGGCTGTTGTACATAGGGTCACTATGAGTTGCAAGCGACTCGATGGCACATAACAACAGCAAAAACAATGCTTCAAAATGAGAAGAAACAACTGGAAACATCAACTAAATATTGGAATCAGAATACAAAGTATGAATTCAGGAGAACTGGAGTTTATAAAAAATGAACTGGAATCCATAAAGATTGCCATGTTAGGCATCAGTGAACTGAGATAGACTGATATTAGCCATTGCCAATCAAATAAGCATGTGGCTTATTATGTTGGACGTGATAAATTGAAGAGGAATAGTTTTATATTTATCATCTAAAAGAACATTTTCAGATTTATCCTAAGTATAATGCTGTCAGTGATAGAATAATATCCATATAGAGACAAGGAAGATCTGTTTATACATTTTTTTAAAAATAAATGCACCACCTACTTAAACAAAAGAGGAAGATAATAAGGGTGTCTACCAGCTTTTGCAGCCTGAAATGAATTGAACATGCAATAATGATGCATTAATAATAATTAGTAACTTGAATGTGAAAGTTGGAAACTAAGAAGGACTGTTAGTTGGTCAATATGACCTTGTCAATAGAAATAAGGCTATAGAGAAAATGATAGATTTTTGCACAATCAATGATGTATTTATTGTATATACATTTTTCTTTTTAAAAAAACTCCCAAAAAGAGAACCACCTATAAAAGATTCATAAGCATGAACCTCACCTGATGTAATACATACAAATCAAATTGACTATATCTTTGGAAGGAGTTGACGGACAAGCTAAATATCAGCAGTCAAAACAAGGCCAATGTCTGGCTATAGAACATGCTATCAATTACTCATATGCCAGTTCAAATTGAAGCTGAAGAAAATTAGCACAACTTCAGAAGAGTAAAATATCTTGACTTTTTTCATCCTTCACCCCACCAAAAAATTGGAAAACTCTCAGGAATAGAGGTGAGGCACTGAATACTATTGAGGGAAGACCAGACCAGTTTAGGAAAGATCTCAAAGACATCATCCATGAGGAAAGTAAAAAGTTATTAAAAAAAACCAAAATGGATTTCAGAGGTGACCTGGAAACTTGCTCTTCAATGTACAAAAGTGAAGTATTTCCCTGTCAACAATTTTTTCAGGCTGGGGGATATTTTACCTCCTGACCATTGAAGGTCTTGAAGCACTTGCTGCAGAAGTTCAAAGAATACACCCTGCAATATGGATTGCTTTTCAGCATCAAGAAAACCAAAATTCTCACCAGTGAACCTATAGGCAACATCATGATAGATGAAAAAAAGATTGAAACTGTCAATGACCTCATCTTACTTGGATCCATAATCAACACCCTTAATAACAGCATCTAGGAGATCAGGTGATATACTGAACTGGGAAATCTGCACTCAGGGAACTCTTCAAATTATTGAGGAACATTGGTGTCAACTTGAGAACTAAGGTGTACCTGACTCAGGCCATAGTCTTTTCAATCACTTGCTATGCTGATGAGAGCTGGGCAATAAATAAGGATGACAGCAGAGTATTTGCTTCCTTTAAACTGTAGTGTTGGAAAAGAGTATTGAATGGACTTTCAAAGAACAAATAGATATGTTTTGGAGAAGGTGCAGCAGAACGTTCCTTGAAGGCAAAGATGACAAAGCTTCATCTCGCATACTTTGGACATGTTGCTAAGATAGGCTATTTCCCGGAGAGGGAAATCATGTTTGGAAAGATGGAGGGACAGTGAAGGAGAGGAATACCCTCGATCAGATGGATTGACACAGTGACACATCACCTAATAACAACAGGGGTTGTGAGCAGCCATCCAAATTGCATCTATAGGTCTTCTCCTGTCTGTCACAATGAAGAGTACAGAAAATCGAAGATACATGGAGTAATTAATCCACAGTACTAATGTTGTTATTGTGTTCCACTTTAGCTGGAATCAGTGGGTTTTCAGAGGCAATTTAATTTTTTCTCCCTTTGAGAAGCTGGTAAATTTGAACCAGGTCATTTGGGATTGCAGTTCAGCACAATTTCTTACCATTAGGCCACCAGAGCTCCCTATAGTACTTATAGATCTTATGAAACTTAACCCCTTCATGAATCTGAGATTAGAAGCATTAAATGGTGCCTGGTTACTACTTTTGGTTACCACTGGTTATGACTGCTGACCCTCCAAAAGAGTTCATAATAGAAGGCCCAGATTAGAGGGGGATAAAAAGTAGAACAAAACCCAAACTGTAAATGAATGAATGGAAATCCAAAGCCTCTGTAAATTTTCACTGAAATTAATAACAAATTTAAATTAAAAAAAAAAAGAATTAAGTTAGAGTAAGGATGGCAATGGAACCACCTTACCTCTGTTACTTGATTTGTGCCACTATTAGAACCTCTACTCAGAATATTATTGCTCTTCAATTTTTGACTTATGCACTTTTAACTTGTTAGTTAAATTTTTATCTTCTAGGCTGCAACACTTCCATGATACATCTTCAAGGATATGAACACGTATGGCTAAGCACAATTGATAACAGTGCATCTAAATTCCAAAATCAATCTCCATAATAGTCTATGTGTTTCCTACTGCCAAAGGGGCCCTTTAGAGTAGTGAGAGAAGACCTTCACCCTGAAACCCACAGCATCCCTTTTCAGCAGGAAGTAGCTAAGAGAATAGGCCATCCCCTTTTCCTTATGACTCAGGGTGAAGTCTCTCTCAGGAAGGAGTGTTAGGGAATGGCCAGGGACACACTGACAAAGGAGATTAATCAGAACTGGCTTTGACAAGCACTGTGGCAATTGGACAATTAAAACAGACATTGGGGGTGGGGAGAAGAACGAACTGGGGATGAGGGTGGAGAAAATAGTGCAACAATGAATGAATGAAAACCCAAAATCTCTGTAAATGTTCATTAAAACTAA